GGGGGGAGGGAGGGAGCGTGGATGTCACATCCATCACACGTCGTCCCACTCGCACTCTCGCACAGCATGGCAAATGCCAAATCGTGAAGTCACTCCTCCGGCGCGCGAGCGCCGCGCTGACGGGACGGACACCGCGTCCCGACGTTGCCTTGACGGCGGCGATGGGGTTATCTCCCCTGGAGGCGGCGGCCGCGCGGAAGCGCCGGAAGCGCTGTACGGCTGCCGTTTTCTTTTTAATTTCACATGGCGTGGCATGGTGTGGCGGGGCGTGGCGGGGCGGGGCGGGGTGTGGTGGGCGTGGTGGCGCCAACCTCACGGTGTGCCTCGCCCTCCTCACGGCCCCCGGCGTCGCGGCAGGATGACTACCGAATGACGGAAAGGCGAGTCCCGTCGAGGAGGGTAACAAGGCCCTCGTCGTGATCGCGCCTCGAGTGGCGGAGGACTGCGAGCAGCGCTCCCGAGGTCCCGAGGTCCCGAGGCACTGCGGCGGCCCCGCCCACTCGTTACTACTCGTTTTCGCAGCGGCTTCACGTCACGATACGCCCCAAAAACAAACGAGTCGGGGCCGCTGACCGGGATCACGAGTTACGTGAGCGGATATTTATGCGGTGTGATTGTTCCGAATTTGGCGACGGGCCTCCGAGCTTCGTCATCGGTCTCGTCTTCTACGGAATAGGTGTGAGTTTGTGTTTGGGTGTGTGTGTTTGTGTGTGTATGTCTGTTTATGGTGTAGATGGGGGAGGGAGATCCTCGGTGCTTTAATAGACGATTTGACCCAGCCGATGAAATTAATGTGGCAAAGGTGTAAAGTTTCCTGCTCGAGTGGCCATACACCCGCGGAGAGGACGCTAAGTTGTTATTAATAAATTTTACGATTTAAGTTCAAGTCAGATCCTTGAGTTTAAATTTTAAATGGCAGGGGATGCGGCGTTGCCAAGTTGACCTCAGCGGCTGGGTCAGATCGTCTATACCACGCGACGCGAGCAGCCGATCGCAAAACCACTCGCGACGTTCGAACCGAATAACCACATTGCGGCACGCGAGAGAGATGCTAAAGGCGGGCTTGTGAAGTCGTTGTGAAAACTACAGGACCACCGCCGCGATGGTGATGGCGTTGTCGGTGTGGGTGCAGTGCAGTGCGATGGTGCGAGAGACTCGCCGGTGCAGCAGCGGGTCGGGACTCCGACCGTTACAGAGGTGGGTGTGCGTGCCCCAGTCCAGTGCGCCATGCTGCCCACACTGCTGCCCTGCTAGGAGCCCGTCGAGTCTGTCGGTATGAGGCGCCGCCCGCCCGAGTGTGACTGCCGCTCTGTTCGCGACCCTCACGGCCTCGCCCACCTGTTGCAGACTCCGCCCGAGGCGCCATGCGCGGGCCGCGGGCGTGGTCGCGGTGCCCGCCGGCGGCGCTGGTGCTGGCGCCGGTGCTGGCGGCGCTGGTGCTGGCCGCGGCCGTGCAGGCCGAGTACGTGCCCCCCGGGCCGCGCTACCGCTGCCCCGCGGCCTCGCTGTACCCGTGCACCTGCCTGGCCAGCAGTGACCAGGGCCTGCAGGTTCGCTGCCACAACACCAACCTCGCCACGCTCAGCGCCGGCCTGCTGCAGGTCGCCAAGTTGTCGCTGCCCATCGAACGCCTGCACGTAACCGGCTGCAACATCGGTGAGTTGCACTCCTTTCTCTCTTTTCTGAAAAATTTCAATTGATCTTTCCTCACTAACTGTGCCCCGCTCTTAGGCCGGCTGTACGGCGCGCTGCTGCACCCGCTCAAAGTCAGGGTGCTGGTCATCGAGGACACGCCGCTGACGAGCATCGACCCCGGTACCTTCTTCGGCGTGAACCGCACGCTGCAGGAGCTCCACGTCGTGCGCACCAAGCTGCAAGCCTTCCCCTCGCAGGCCCTGCAGGTGAGTTGGGGAGCGACGTCAAGAACGATGAGCAGTGGTTGGTCGCAAGGCGTCCAAGACCAGGCAGTGCTGGCGGCGGAATTGAACCCGGACCCAAGCCTAAGAGGCGGGCTGCTGCAGCAGAGCAGGCCTGGCTGCGTCTACCTCATTGCCCTTCAAATGCCGCATTGTCGTGGACTAATGGGGGGAACCCGGCCAGCCCCGGGGGCGCGACTGTGACTAGGACAGTAGTAGTTTGGAGGTGGTGGTTGTTGTGGCCATTGTCTCCACGCCGCCCAGCCGCCGCGCTCATTGGAGCGTTGGATGACTGGCAGAACGGACCGCAAAAGTATCGCGAGGCGTGGCGGGGCGTGGAGGTGGGGAGGTACGCGCCAGGTCCTTTCTCTCAGAGCGCCCCCTCCGCGCCCCCAGGGCCCCGCCCCACCCCGCCCCAAAGAGGTGCCACAGCCAACGTGTTCGTGAGGGGCGTGGCGGGGCGTGTTGGGGCGTAGCGGCTGCGGCGGTGTTCTCCAACTTGGGGTCTCTCTTATTCGCGTGTCTCCTTCACGAATAATAAGACAGGCATGAGTAGTAAATACACATTATATGTCTGTCTCTCTCTGCCCCCCCCCCCTTTTCTCACTCCCGTGTGTGTGTCCGGTGCGTTTTAATAAACGCACGTCGAGAAGACGGAGAAAATCAGCTGTTCGGGGTGTGCTTCGTCTTTGCTGGGTGGAAGTCCAGCTTCCCGCCGCTTTAAGCATCCTGCGGTGTGCATTTGAATACCCCGCGTGGGATACACACACATAGAGGCAGGGCACGGATTCACGCACACACACACACACACACACACACACACACACACACACACACACATACGTGTGCGCGCGCGCTCGAGAGCTACCTTCCCAGGCATTCTCCGCGTGTCGGGTCATCTCTTTTCCCTTTCTTTCACTCTGGGTTCTCCCACATGTGCCGGGGAACACAAACAACTAACTACCTACTGCCTCAGCTGGACACAGCCGTCGTGGTGCTCGCGCGCCCTTTCTCTCTTCTTTCTCTCTCACACACTTCTTCGCTGGGTCAAAAGGGGGTGAAATGGTGAAATAAGTAAACGTGAAAACAGTTTTGCCCGAGGGCCACGGGTCCTGGTCCTGGAACCCGTGCGACCCGTGATTTCAGTCGAACACGGCGCGGCTGGCTAATCCTGCAGCCGGCGGTGTCGTAATGCTGCACTGCGCTGCCCCGCGGCGGCTGCCCGACCCTCTCGATTAGTTCATTGTCTCCTGTTTGCTTTACGCGGGGAGGTGAACTGCCGCGCCCGCGCCGCCACCGCTCCGCTAGCGGCAGCTTCAGGCCACTTCAGGCCTACGTCGTCGCCCCGCCAACCGAAACGTTCACCACTCGACTTTTTCCTCCCCGTCACTGCCCTGAATTTTATGCAGAACGTCAGATCGAGTGACCTGGATCAATCTCTTTTCTTTCTTTTTTCTTGCCCGTTCTTTCGAACCCCCTTTTCCGCCATGGCTCAAAGTGGTCCTTCCCCCCATTGGGCCCTATTTGACCAGTATCATGTTACCGCAACGTCGAGTAGGCAAAGATTCTATCAATGTCCGCCTCAAAATGCGGTCTCCTTGGGTGGGTGAGACGTCTTGCTCCTCGGAAGGAAATTACTGCAAAACCTCGAAAAGAATTGCTTGCGATGGCTGACACGGACGTTGATCGGCAGGTGCTGGGGAACCTGACGCTGCTGCGGCTGGACGGCCACGAGATTGCCGAGCTGCCCTCCACCGCCTTCACGGAGGGCGAGAGCCTGCTGCCCTCGCACCTCAAGGCGCTGCACGTCTGCAACGGCAACATCTCGGACCTGCCCGCCGACGTGTTCCAGCCGCTGCGCAAGCTTGGCGTGCTCGACCTGCACGGCAACAACATCACGGTTAGCAGCAACAGCAACATGCGTGCCGGTTTATTTTGTTTTTGTGCATGCTTTTAAAATGAGGTATCAACATATGTCCCGTCCCTGGAACGGGAATGGTCGTTGGATCGGCGAGCATGAGATACTGTTATGCGTTTTGAAGCATTACTTAAAAAATTCTCGATGGAAAGCTGAAACGCGATAAAACGCCTTGATAGTGTGTCATCCCTCGCCTCAACGACCAATTATTTCCAGGGTCTTGCTCGAGTAATTTTGCAGAGTGTGTAGCAAATACATGTCCTTTGAGCGAGCCGCTCCCGGCCGGCGCGTCCTGACTGACTTCCCTCTCATTATGCAGCAACTGAAGAAGAACCAGTTCAAGGGCCTGCGCGACGTGGAGACGCTGGACCTCTCCCACAACGGGCTGACCAAGCTCGACTCTAGTCACCTGGCGGACCTCACCAAGATGGCCACCTGCAACGTGTCCCACAACGCCATCGGCGAGCTCACTCGGTGAGTGTCCTCACTTTAATGCCAACGGGCCTGCCCGCGAGGACTCGGCTCACGTGCTCGTCGTCGATCTCTCTTTCCATCACAGGGGCACCTTCGCGCGCAACACCGTGCTGCGCGTCCTCAACATGTCTGGCAACCGCCTGCGCCGCCTGGACGGCAACAGCTTCCGGGGCATGCGCTTCATCCGGCGCCTGTTCCTGGCCGACAACGAGATCGCCGAGGTGGGCCGCGGCACGTTCGGCGGCATCACCCGCGTGGGCACCATCGACCTGGCGCGGAACAGGCTCAAGAAGATCGACTACCAGATGTTCCAGCAGCTGCAATACTGCGAGGTGCGTAGTCCAAAAGTTGTTATGCTCATGCAGATCGTGATCATCGTCATGATCACCATCACCGTGGTGATGTCACTGACCATCTGACCAAATTTCGATTGTTTCTCGCAGCTCATCGACGTGTCGGAGAACCAAGTGACGGACATCCAGAAGCTCTCCTTCAAGGATCTTTACCTGGTCAGGATCAACCTGTCGCACAACGCGATCGACACCATCGAGGCGGGGGCGTTCGAAAACTGCGCCAACATGACGGTGCTGGACATGTCGCACAACAAGATCACCAACATCCCGAGGTCGGCGTTCGACGCCAACACTTACGCGACCGAGCTGCAGCTGAGCTACAACCTGCTCACCGACCTGGCTCAGGTACAGCTCCACTCCACACCAACAATAAGTAATTGACACGTCCAGCTCCCGTGCTTTGCTCGTTGCCATGTGCGCGGGCCGTCGGCCGGTTGGCGCTGCTCAGCCGCTGTGTTTGATCCCACGACTCCTCCGCGGTGGCCGGCCGGGTCAGGGGCCGCGCGTCCTGCGGAGGAGCAGGTGGGCAGATGGTGACCGGGCAAAGAGACAATCTCATCCGTCTCGAGACGGCGCACGGCTTGTTATCCTGGACAGCGGGGGCGTCTTGCCGCGCGGTGGTCGCCGATGATGATGACGCGCGCAGGATGGCCGCCGACAGCTCGTTAGCGACACGGGTCTCTCATATAGTGGACATGCGGTGTGGGTTGCAGGTGCCGCTGCACAACATGACGGGCCTCAAGGTGCTGAACGTGAGCTACAACGAGATCGAGCGCGTGCCCCGCAACGTGTTCCCCAAGCTGTACGAGCTGCACACCATCGACCTGAGCCACAACAACCTGCAGGAGATCTGGAACGGCGTCTTCCAGACCCTGTTCGGGCTGCGCTTCCTCAACCTCAGCCACAACGCCATGACGGAGATCCGCAGCTCCACGTTCGGCTCCTTGCCCACCCTGCTCGAGCTGGACCTGAGCCACAACAACCTGTCCGACGTGGGCCGCGGCTCGCTGGCCCGGCTCGCGTCCCTGCGCTGGCTCACGCTCGCCCACAACCAGGTCAGTGTCATGTCGTCGCCACCGGCTGCCCCTAGGGCTGCGCCCGCCGCTGTAGGCAGCCGCTCTGGTGTGGCTAACGGCGCTGGTAGCCTACGTCCTCTGGGCTGGCCTAGCCTGCGCTTTTCATTATATTCAGTAATGTTACGACTGAAACTCTTCTACGAACAGTTTAGAAATGTTTGTAGAATGTGGTTATTTACTTAAATACCATTTTTTTTTGTAGAATGTTGGCAACAATAGATTGTCATAAGTTCGATTTGGAAACGCCATCAATTTTTTTTCCTCCCCTACCCCCACAGGTGTCCCGAGTGTTCCAGCTGCCCATATCGCTGTCGTACCTGGTCCTGTCGCACAACGCCGTGGCGCGCCTGGAGCCCGGCACCACGTGGCCCTCCATGAACGCGCTGCTGGGCCTGGACCTGTCGCACAACGGCATGAAGGACGACGCGATGCAGCACGGCTCCTTCGCCAACCTGCTGACGCTGCAGCGGCTCGACCTCTCGAACAACGAGCTGACGCGGCCGCCGTGGGAGGCGCTGGGCGACCTCACGTCCCTGCAGTACCTGTACCTGCAGCACAACCAGCTGACGGAGCTGCCGCGCGGCGCGTTCGGCCGCCTGCCGGTCGTGTTCGAGCTCCAGCTCGCCAACAACCGCATCGCCAACGTGTCGTCGCGCGCCTTCGACGGCCTGCTGCAGCTGCTCACGCTCAACCTCACCGCCAACCACATCACCCACCTGCCCAACGGCGCGCTGCAGGGCCTCGTGTCGCTGCGCACGCTGGACCTGTCGCACAACCAGCTGGAGCGGCTCGACAACAAGACCCACGGCCTGCTGGACGACTGCCTGTCGCTGGAGAGGGTGAGTACCGCACCGCGACGGACATCGAGCGAACCAGTTCTTGTTCTGTTATCTCAACTTGATCACTTTCCTCAGGTGAACTTGAGCCACAACAAGATATCGTTCGTGACCAAGAAGACGTTCCCCAGCAACCCTTACATCCCCTACCGGCTGCGCGAGGTCGATCTCAGCCACAACGTGATGCCCGTGCTCACCCATGACATCACCGCGGGCACCAAGAAGGTCGAGGTGCTGAACGTCAGCCACAATATGATCAACGAGATTCGCAAAGGTGGGTGTTGCTTTACTGGGGCCAGCGGCCAGCCAGCAGCGCCTAGTGAGTATGCAACTCTTCCGGCTCGGGACTTCCCCCGCGGGACCCCTGCGCTCAAGGCAACCCAACCGGCTCCCCAGTTAGGGAGGGGGAAGGACTCTGTAGGAGGAGAGGGGGAATGCCCTGGACAGCTCGACGCGCCCCGCCCGACCGGTAGGCAGCCCAACTGACACTACCTCTTCTTCTCCCTCACAGGAGTCATCGGCAACCTGACGGCACTACGGGTCCTCGACTTGTCGTACAACGAGCTCGAGGTCGTGTCCGAGGGCTCCACCGCCTTCCGTCCGCCGCGCAACCTCAGCGAGCTGTACCTGCGGGGCAACCGGCTCGGCACCGTCCCCGGGGACGCGCTGGCCGCCCTCAAGCCGGGCCTCACCGTCCTGGATCTGCGCGACAACCAGATGACCGCCTTCCACCGGAGGTTCCTGCCGCTCCTTATGAACGGCACCGAGTTCAGATATGAGAGTGAGTACTTCCAACCGCTCCAAATGAGGAGTAATAGCGATAGTAGTTTATCCTGAAACCCCACCCGGAGACGTGAAAAACTTTTAATCACAAGTTTTAATGCAACATGTTTGTGCTTCTCTGAACATTTACATCTTTACCCTCAACTAACTCTCTTTTGCGCAGACAACCCGTTCCAGTGCTCGTGCGCGTCGCGGCCGCTGCGCCACTGGCTCGGGGTGCAGGCCGCCACCCTGCCGTGGTGGGGCGCGGTGCGCTGCGCCGAGCCCGAGTTCCTCGCCGGCCAGGCCCTGGTGGACGTCCCCGAGGACCGGCTTACCTGCCGGCCGGAGGACCCCGCCTCCAAGGACCCCGACCTCGACATCAGCCCCGACCTCAAGTTCAGGGAGATCAAGAGGTGAGCGTGCGTGTGTCACGGAGGGAGGGGTGACCTCCAGGAGGTCAGCAGAGGTCGGCCGTCCTCCTCCCCGACGGCCGCTATATTGCGTGGCCCGTGGCCCGTGGGTCGTGGGTGCGCCGCAGCATGTCGTCTCGCGCGGTGCAATTTGTCCAGCTTTTGTAGCATGTCGACTTGTATTTGTCCAGCCGAGGAGGAGGATGGTAGTACTTTGCATGGGAGCAACGGTGCAGCAACGGCCGGCGGGCCGGCGGGGGCTTAAAAGCGCACCGCTCCACGGCGCACTCTATCAGCTCGGCGGGGCGGGGCGGGGCACCGGAAGAAAAGAACCCTTAAGTCATTCTCGTAGGCGCTGAATAAAAGCCTCCACGGGAGCGGAACTGCGGAGCCCAACCACGCAAAACACACTCCTCTGGCTGGCTCGTCGCACCGCGGGGAGAGGAATGGGGGGGGGGGGTAAGAGCAATAGAGAGAGGTGGGGTAGGCAAGGGACACGTGCACCACCATCATGACGGTCATCATCATTCGTGCCCTTCACCCACAGCAGGGCCGGCCCGGGAGCACACTCGCCGGCGCCCTGATGGCTCATGGATATGACAGGCCATTCCGTGATGGGCCATAGGCCGGCCGGGGTGGAGTGGTCCACCATGGGCGGCCATCACGGGCGGACGGGGGACGGGCGCGGGCGGATAGAGTCGACGGTCCCACGGGACGGGGCGGGACGGGACGCGATGGGCCAAGCACAGCACGGCGGGCAAGGACCGGGCGCGCATCGAGTTGTAATGATTGGCATTATCAAACCGTCCGGCCAGTCCTGCGTGGGCTCAAAGGGACCGTACTTTAGGAGGGCGCGGGGGCGGCGGGGACGTGGGTCGGGGCACCATAGCAGAGAGACCAGCGATGGGATCGGCCGGTCGGCCACCCCGAAAATATCATCCTGCATAGACGGCTGAGGCGGCGTAGAGAAATAATGTTGCGGTATACGTCATCATAAATGGCCGATTCCCCTCACTTAGCCGTCTATCTCTCTCTCTCTCTCGGTCTCTCCCTCCCCTCCCCTCCTCCTCGTAATCGACTTCAGACACACTGCCGCGGACGTTAATTAAGGCGCCCGTGGTACATCACACGCTCGTGGTCCCGTAGCGACTCGCGGCGGGACCCAAAGGGGAGGGGAGGGGGGATGCAAAAAGCCCTTCGGGGCCGAGGCTCGCGCAACGGCGGCACGGGGAATTTAAGGAGCGAAGGGCCCCCTTTCATCTTCTTTCGTTAAGGCGTCGCGGCGTCGGCTTCGCACGCGAGAGGGCGCGCCTCGTCGCGGCGCGCCGCACCGTGAGAGGGAGGAAGTCGACGACGACGAGTTGTTCTCGAAGGAGAAGGAGAGAGAGAGAGAGATGAAAATCTCTGATATTTCCAGGAACTTTGTATTTATGTTGTAATTTATTTATATTTTTTGCAGCAACACATTTTTTTTGTTCGACGCCTAAATTTCTTCAAAATGAGTTTCCTCTGAAGATACTAAAAATTCAATGACAGCAAAATGTACCGCACAGCGCAACACCTCTGAGCAGTGCACTAGCTGGCGCCCAGCGTGCACCGGCCGGCCGGCCCGGGCCGTACAGTATACGTACAAGTCATTGTTCTTGAGCCGGGCAGGCGTTGCGGGCGCGCTAATCTATTCGGGAGGATGCGCGCGGCGCCGGCGCACACTGCGTCCGTCTGGAGGCGACTTGAGGGGGAGATTGCGGCGCGTCGAGGGGCGTCGCCGGCGTCGTCCGGACCGACGCATGGCGCACGGCCACCACCACTGAGATGTTTTTGTTCAGCGAGGCATGACCTCCTCACCTCCTGACGCCTGCCTCATCACCGTATAATATCTGCCCGCAGGGACCTGAAGGGGGTGGTGACCGTCTCCTGGTACGTGACGACCAACGAGGACGTGGCGGACTTCCTGCTGATCGTCCGGGACACCGCCGTAGACAAGGTAATCATCGTTATTGGCCGGGGCCTCAGCCGGGGCCCGAGAGGCTGCCTGCTACCGTGCCGCCGGTAGTTCACGCACAGGTGCTCCGCGCCCCGCCCCGCCCGGCCAGCGGCCGCGCTTCTGAGAACTAACTACGTGTACTGCGGGCCGGGCTACCGCGGGCTACTGCTGCGGACCGAGAGCCGGCGGAGCCTCCGCGCAACGGGGATGGATATTGGCGCCGCCGGTGTGCGTGCAAAGCGGTACAAGCGGGAGAGAAACATGTAAATTTCCAGAAAAAATAAATAATTGGTGGGCTCGAAAGCTTTTTTGATGGCAAATTTCGGGAAGTAACAAGAAATGATGTTGGAGGTGAGCGTCACGCCCTTTTGGAGCGAATGGGCATGTGCTCCTATGTGCTCGGAGCCATTACGGGAAGATGGGCAAACCCCCACGCACGCATGTTGACGGCTGCTATACCAGGTAGCTGATTTACCCCGCTCACTTCTGCAGTTGTGTTGTACCGCACGCACGAGTGCGGGCGGGCCGAGCGAATAGGCAACCCGCTTGCATTCGTGCGTGCGGTGCAGCATAACTGCAGAAGTGAGCGGGGTTAAACGGCCAGCTCCCTGTAGAAATTTTGAGGAAAACTATCCATAATCAATGACATTTTTAAAGAGAGCATTTTCTCTTGATGGCGCGCGAGCATTTTTCTTGACAATCATTATCTTCACGCGTTTCAGGTGCCGACAGCTGCGCCCGTCGAGGACGGTGCGGACGCCGTCGCCGAGGAGCCGCGCGACCCGAGCGTGGTGCTGCAGCGCGTGCTGCCCTACACGGCGCGCTACCACGCGCTGCCCGACCTGGCCGCCTCCGCCAGCCTGGAGCTGTGCGTCCTGGCGCAGGACTCGGCCGGCAACGTGCGTCGCTGGCGTCGCTCGCAGTGCCGCATGGTGCCCGTGGAGCCCACCGGCCGCTTCGGAGGCCTGCAGCTCGCGAGCAGCGGCGGCGGCCGGGGCCCCGGACGGGCCGCCCCCGCGGTCCTGCTGGCCGCGGCCGCCGTCGTGCTATGCGCCAGCGCCTGAGCGGCGCCAGGCGCCACCGCCAGAACCCAAGTGCCATCCGATGACTTGGTCATGACGGCCACCATCACCATCATCGCTGCCGCGCGGTTCCGCCCGACGCGTTTCCCTCCAACGCGGTGGCGATTCTCCATAGCTGGGCGTGCAGGGCTGGGCACGCCCTGTTGGTCCTTGCCCCGCGCGTGATGAGGTGGTGTCCTTGAGGTGGCCGCCGCCGGACCCCGAGGCGCCTCGCCGGGACTCCTTTGTCGGGCGCCACAATGCCGCGACACAGAGCCCCCGCCCCTCCCTCCTCCTCCTCCTCCTCCTCCTTGCGCCCCTCCTCGTGCGGGTCACGCCGCGTGACGCGTGTGACCGATGAGGCGACGGGGCCGATGATCGATCGGCTGTGAATGTGAATGTTGTGTTCGTCGCGATGGACCATCAGTCACGGGGTGCCAGTGTGTTGGAACAGGTCGGTAGCAGCGCGCGTATGCAGTGTGCTGCACTCCTACGGACAGCGTCGCGTTGACAAAACAGTGATGAGTGGAAAAGGATTTTTTTGGGATCCTTTTTTTGTTTGGCGACATGCCCAAACCATGCGTAATACAGGGTCCTGCTAACCTCTTCCGATTGTAGAAGGGTTAGCGTCCAAAGCTCTGCTTGTGATAGTTACAATGTGAACCAAAGGGGAACGCCCCTGCTTCCCTGTTCGAAGTAATTGCACGGTGTACAGTGTCCTCTAGTGGTGCCGTCGCACCACTGCCTGATGTCTGTCGATAACTTATTTATGTGAGTGAAGCGATATCGCCGACTAAAATTGATGAAATGCAAAATGAATCTGAAAAAATAAAATGCTTCCGCTCCGTTTTATACAATGCTAAAAGTCTGATTTGTTACGCTTCGAGTACCAAGCCCCAAACTGTAAATGTAATAATAGTGAATAATAATGAATAAATCTGTTGCGATGATTGACTAATGCACTTTACTTGTTATTTCCCTGCAACCTGCTCTCCCACGCCCGCGACTGCACGCATGGGCCCTTAGGACCCGTTGTCCCTGACGACCGTCGCAACAGCGAGATCGCCCGCTCTCTTTGGGCATCCATCTATTTGTGAGTCGATGGCCGATGTCGGCCCCGCTGCGCCCCACCTCTCCGCCGGGCCTAGGCCGGGCCGCGAGGATGATAGCTTCATTGTATCGCATCCCTCTCCCCCCTCCCCTCGCCTGCTCCCCAGATCGGATCCGATCGACCGCGCTGGTCGGCCGTATGCCGTCGCGTCGGCCGTCGGCATGGGCGGCCCTCTCGGACGGTCGGTACGGGGCTGCTGCCGTCTGCGGATCACGACCGCGGTCGAGCAGGGCGGGGCGGGGCGTCCTGGTAGCAGACAAGAGCGCTGCTCCAACAGAACGACCGAATGTCCAAGGTAAAATATGATTGCGGCCATCGCCGTCCTCGCCGTTGTCGCCGACTCCTCCCCCCCCCC